CCTTAAGCTCCCGCACCCGTCGGTGCTCCCCCTCTCTGCGGCGGCGCCGCGCCGCCTCTTGCTGCTGCGGTGCTGCTCCGCCCCGCTCCTGCGGGCTGCCGCGGGACGCTGTGCCCGCCGCTTCCGGCGCCTCCCACTCTGCCCCGTTGCCCCCTGGCTGCCCTGGGCGGCCACTGTCCCCTCTGCGGAGCGGTCCGCTCGCGTCGCCGCTCCCGGGTGCCCCTCGCCTCTTGAACGGCGCTGTTGCCTGCAGCCCGCGGGCGCCTCGCCTGCCTCCCGCCCTGCCCCGCCCTCGGGCCACCTGGCCTCAGGCGGTCATGCTGCAGCGTCCCTTTCACAGCCCGCTTTGCGCTGCTCCCGCCCCCGCATGGCTCAGTGCTGTGCGTTCTCCTCGGGACGCCGCGGTACGATGCACGCGGTGTCTCCTGTGCTCCCCCAGCCCTACGTCGCGAGGGGGAGAGGAGAGGAGGGAGGCCTCCATGTGTGGAGTGGCGCGGTGCCCGCGGGCAACACGCCCCGTAGAGGTGTCAGGTGCAGCTGGGTGGTGGTGGCAGCAGGTGCTTACCGCTGAGGGCGGGCGCCGGGGGCGTCGTCCCAGGCGGTGTCAAAGCGGCGCTTGCCAGGCTTGCCGCCTTTGTCACGCCCTTCGCCTTGCGCTGCGGCCTCGCGCTCACGCGCCTCCTGCCTGCCTGCGAGTGTTCTCGGCCTGCTGGTTGCGCCAGACCTGATCCCAGTCCACGTGGATACCTTCCAGGACGAGCAGCGGCACCAGGAGCGCTCGTCGCGACAACGGGGAGGAAAAGGACCCCCTGGCTCTCTCTCTCTCTCTCTCTCTCTCTCACACACACACGCGCACACACGCGCGCGCGCATTTCTCCTCCATGGCGGCGCGCCATCTGCCAATCACCGAACACATACATACACACACACGCATCCACGCACATCCATATGCACAAACACGTGCTCAAGTTTACGCATATACAACACAACGCACAACACACGGACACCCAAAACACACACCCACAGTCAGCGCGGCTGGCCACCCGTGGCGCGAACAGGCATCAACTTAAACAACTGCACCCATAAACACTGCCACGGCGCACACGAACACATTCACGCACGATCGGCCACACTCAAACACGCGCACGCACGCGCACACACACGTACACATATGCAGCCCTTGCCTGCCAGGCAGGACGAGTCTTTGGCGCGCCTGGGACACCACTCTTCTGGACCCCCATTCAGGAACTCACTGCTAGCCAGCGTTTTGAAATCAAAACCCACACTGGCAACCCAGCCCATCAACTAACTGTTCAAACACGACGCGAGTGTCGAAACGTCTGACTGGCGTTGCGCCAGGGCCACCACGAGGCAGGGACACCGAGTGCTGACTCACGGTGTCCATGCTTCCTCCATCTCCCCCGCGGCTGCCTGATCTGAATGCTACCCTGCTCCGCCCCCTCCGACTACGTGCTGAACTGATCACGCCCTCTCAAAGCATTGCTCTTCGTTAAAGAAAAAACCAAATATGCACTATCGTTCCACTGGGAACGTTGCCGGCGTTCCCGCTGCAGCGTGGGCCTCATTTTGGAATCGGCGTGTTGCTCCTGTCGTTCAAAATGGGGCTCTCGCCCAAGCGCGAGCCACACTTTAGGTTCCCAACCCTTCTCCTCGTTGTCGCCACGCTCCTTATCAGTTCCCCAGCCTTTCCATGGTTCTGCTGTTCCCCCAGCTCTTCCCAGTCCTGAATATGCTGCTGCTGCTGCTCCTCCTCGTCCTTTTCCTTCCTCATCCTGCTCCTCTTCCTTCTGCTCAATATCCTGATCCTCGGCCACCTCCTTCTCCTCCTCCTCTTCCAATGTGCACATCTCCCCTTTCCTGATTGCGCATAGCACGAACGTGTCCTTCGGGGGGGTTCAGGTTCGCTGTGGCATCCGTCGGCAGATACATAACAGATAGCGCACTGGAAAGGGATTGGTGGAAGGGGTAAGATGTCACATATGGCGCGAGTGCACCTAGCTTGACCTCTCCCACTCTTCCGCCTCCATCCTCCTCCTCCTCCCCCTCATCCCCTTCCTCCCCCTTCACACATCCGCTATATCCTACCTCCTCCCTTCCCCCCTCCAACCTACTCTCTCCCATTCCTCTGTGCCTCTTCCTTTCCTTTACCTCTCTCCCTCCATGCTGACTTTCTCCCTCCACCCGTCCTCCCAGCCTCTATCCTTCCTTCTCTGTCCTCCGTCCCTCCTTCATCCTCCTTCGTCCCTCCCACGTCGCCCCAGGGAGGAAGAGGAGGAGGAGGAGGAGGAGGAGGAGGGGGAGGAGGAGGGAGGAGGGGGAGGAGGAGGAGGAGGGAGGACGAGGAGGAGGAGGAGGAGGAGGAGAAGGAGCAGGAGGAGGAGGAGGAGGAGGAGGAGGAGGAGGAGGAGGAGGAAGAGTTGTTCCTCCCCACCTTGTCCCTCCGTCGTCTCCCCCCCTCGATTTTACCGCCCCCTCGGGCCAACGCTCCACACGTCCAGCGAGGGCGCCACGGTGATGTGCGTCTCCTGGTCTTCGATCAGGAACCTGGCCCTCCTCCATCCTCCATCCTCCATCTGCCTCCTCCTTCTCCTCCCGCTGCTGCTGCTCCTCCACCTTCTTCTCATCCTCCTCTTCTTCCACTCCCCCCTCCTCCTCTCTCATCTTTCAACTTTTACTCTCTCCTCCCTGCTCGTGTTCCCCCCTTCTCGGGCGCGAACCTGGCTCTCCTCCCCGTCCTCCTACTCCTGATCATCCTCCCCATCCTCCGCTTCATCCACCACGAGAGCAGGAACCGGGCCCACTCGGGCGCGCAGTAGCACGGGGAGAACGAGATGGAGGAGTCCTGGATCGATAGCCTGGTCCCTATCTTGACCTCGGACGGGGGACGCGGAAGCCATGAATGATGCGGATGGAAGATAGGGGGGCCGGTCATAACTGGCGAAGGTGTGGTCCGTACCCTCCTGGGAAACATACATCGTATGGACGATCTCTCTATCTCTCTCGATCTCTCGAGGGTCGAGAGGGGCGTCCAAGCCGACGGGTCCCGCAGAGGGATCGGGACTGCACTTCCCCCAGTCGCGGATAGTATGAGGTTGGCATAAAAAAGAAAAAGGGGTCCTGATGGGGACGGCTGGGGCCAGTCTCCGGGACCAACCTGTCTCCGGGACCAACCTGTCATCCGGGACCCACCTGTCCTCCAGGACCAACCTGGTCTGGAGACCCCGAAGACGGCGAAGCGACTCCAGGAACGCGCTCCCCCATGACCCCCTTTCTCCCTGGCGATGAGGGAGTGACGAGCGGGGGAGGAGGGGACTCCAGGAACGCGTTCCCCCTATGACCCCCTTTCTCCCTGGCGACGAGGGGGTGACGAGCGGGGGAGGAGGGAGGTCGACCGCCGCTGACCGCAGTCCCTATCGCCTGGTCCGAAGCGTGGCCTGCCTCGGCCACGGTTGCCGCACGGCAGCGGCCAGCCCCAGTCGCGCGGCCGGGCCGGAAGGGCGCAGGTGCGAACGCGACAGTCGCTGCGATCAGCATCGGCCACCGCGCAACCAAGGAGCGGCGAAGAGAAGGGCTAACGTGCGTGAGGCCGTAGCAACTCAATTACGCGATGACTTGTCAGGGGGACGTAAGACCTGGGTACAAGGGACTCGGGAATCCCCGACGATGTCGTCAAAAAATGACGAGGCCGAGCCTGCATTTTGACGATGCCTCCCGCTGCAGACATCCCACGAAACTCCTCCTCGTCAAAATCCGAGCCGCGGTCGTCAACAAAACGATGGCGAACCCGAGTCCTGGCAAACCCAGGTCTTACGCTCCCCCGAACTTGAGGCAGGCTGATGGCGCGGCACACGCGCATGGAGAAGATGGCGATCGCGCGCAGCCTCACGCGGGCCGCCGCGCGAGCGGCCGCGCAGTCGACCTCGTGCTGCTGCGCCGCTCGAGGTTGGGATGCAACTCCTGAGAGGTCTTCGTAAGAACCAGGAAGGACTACAGTCTGGGCGTGACCTAAGGAACCCTAAATAAGGAACGAGGCCCCTTTCTTCCACAAGTTAATCTTCTATTTCCGGTACGAACGCGGAAAGGCTACTCGCCAAATTACGGTGCCATTGGACCGAATTTGGGCCCGATGAAATCCGGGATTCAGCCGGAGTGGATGGGATCGAATATACAGTCGGGGCCTTGACCTAAGGAACCCTAACTCAGGAACGAGGCCCGTTTCTTCCATAAGTTCATCTTCTATTTCCTGTCGAATACAGAAGGAAAAGCCTGAAGCAAGCTGTGAAACACTCAAGGAACGCGGAGCCCCTCCCCAACGAAAAAGGTTCCTTCTTCAGGGCCCCGACTGTACTCGCCAAATTACGGTGCCATTGGACCGAATTGAGGCCGGATAAGATCCGGGATTAAGCCGGAGTGGATGGGATCGAATATACAGCCGGGGCCTTGACCTGAGGAAACCTGAATCAGGAACGAGGCCCCTTTCTTCCATAAGTTAACCTTCGATTTCCTGTCGAAAACCTAAGGAAAAGCCTGAGGCAAGCTGTGAAACACTCAAGGAACGCGGAGCCCCTCCCCAACGAAAAGGGTTCCTTCTTCAGGGCCCCGACTGTACTCGCCAAATTACGGTGCCATTGGACCGAATTGAGGCCCGAGAAAATCCGGGATGAAGCCGGAGTGGATGGGATCGAATAGAATTCAGCGGAATTAGAAGGGAGCGTGCTGGATTGTACTGGTTTCCAGCCACGGATGCACAAGCGCCGATGCCGAACGAAGCCTCCGAGGAGCTGCATCCGAAGCGGGGGGGGGACTGAGGTCTGGACGCACCCGTCCACGTCTATGAGCTTGAGGCGGCCGTTGAACATCATGAGGTTCTCGGGCTTCATGTCGATGTGGACGAGGCCCTTGGCGTGGAGCCCCGCCACCACCAGCACGATCGCCTTCGTGATGTGCCTGATGGACTCCTCTTGGGGCGCTGCGGCCGGGAAACCTGTGCTCAGCGTGCCGCGGCGGCAGCCCCGGCGACACGCTGCGCCCTCCGAGCTGACAGCGCGTTGCTCCGCTCCGCCGGGGCGGGAGGCTGGGAGGGGCTCGGGGCGTTGAGGCCTGGGAGCTGGGACGTGGCCTGCGCGTCGCGCCGAAGCAAGATGGGCCAGAACCAGCGGCGCGACACGGGGAGCAAAAGTTCGTGAACGTAGCCTCGCCGTCCCCCCTCCTGCTCTGACCTTCCAGGAGGGCTGAACCGCAGCCCCACGATGTCCGAGCCGAGACTACAATCGAGGCTTTGAGCAGTACTGGCTACTGGCACGTCTGCGTAAAGGTATGCAGGGTCATCTTGTAGCACTCTGGAAGGTCAAGATGGCGGTGGCACCAACCTCCCATCCTGGCCCTGCCTCCCGCCTGGCTCCCTCTGATCCAGGCGTGTTTTGCATATGTTTGCGCGCCGGGCGTTCTTGCCGCCCTGGTTTTGCTCGGCCCCAGGGCCCTCGCAGGTCGATCCAGCTCGATAAAGTACTGCACGAATCGGGGCCCCCGAAACGGGGATTTCGATCAACCGAGCCTTTGTCGCGTCCGAGACAACTGCAGCCGTGGGTCGGCACACTCTCCATTGCTCGTTCTCTCGCGGTGGAACTTTCGGAGTCCTTGTTGGCAGTGTCCTGGCTCAGGGGGCCCTGGCAGAAAGATCTGGCTCAGGGGGCCCTGGCTCGTTCTCTCTCGCGGTGGAACTTTTGGAATCCTTGTTGGCAGCGTCCTGGCCCAGGGGGCCCCGGCAGAAAGATCTGGTGCAGGCCTTTTGTTTGAAGTTTCACGAGCTTGTACTCTTCCCCGCGGCGTCGGGCCTCGGGGTTCCCCGTTGCGCCCTCTCTCCCTGTCCCCCCCCCCCCTTCCCCCTTCCCCTCCCTCTGACCTCCCACCTGCCTCTGTGCCTGCCTCCCGCCGCTCCTCCGTCCCTCCCCCCTTCCCTTCCCTGACTCCCCCTCCCTCCACCTCCGCATCGTCGTCGTCGTCCTCCTCCTCCTCGTCGTCATCTTTCCTCCTCCTCCTCCTCGTCATCATTCCTCCTCACCTTTCCTCCTATTGCCTCCTTTTGCTCCTCAGCCCCAGGACTTGTCAAGGCATGGCCGGAACCTCACGTTGGGGCATTCAGATACACATCCTCCCCGTGGGTTCGCTGCACCACGGCCACTGGCACCGCCCCGATGGACAAGCCCCACCACAGCCACTGGCATTCGGTTTTCTCATAATCTGCCCCGCAATATCCAATGCTTCGCCGGTGACCGCCTCATCCCTACATATGAGTTCATGTGTCGTTTAAGCCAAAAGCGAGCCTGGTGAGACTTTCCCTCCTCCTCTTCTTCTTCGGGAATCCACTGTGAGTTCCTCGAGCCAGGCACGGCGAGCAAAGCCAACCAAATGGGATTCAAAAGAATCAACGCGTCTTCCATGACTCGTCTGGCCAGGCTCCGTAGCCCGGTGGCAAGCGGCCCGCGGCCAGACACCTGATCACTCGAGCTCCCCACTCTCCCCGAGTCTCGGGCTCGCAGGGCCCGGTCAGCTTCTGCACTTAACGGGGCAATTTCCCCCTCGATATCGGGCCCCGCAACTCCCACAAACTTCACGCCAAAACACACCCCTCGTGACATTCAGACGGTGAGACGAGTGCAAGACTCGGGCCCACCCGCGCAGTTCCCCCCAAACCACTCCACCTCCCGCCCGCGCCCGGCCCTCGTCCCACACTCCAGGCAGCGCCAACCCTGACGGTCGCGGATCGGAGCGTGGGCAGTCCTGCGGCGAGCCTCCTCCTCCGCCACCGCCTCCGCCCTCCTCCGTTCCTTCAGCTGAGCCACCCTGTCCGCGCGGGTGGACGGACCGTGCAGGGCGCGCGCCTGGGCGGCAATGCTGTGGGCCACGGCCAGGAGGTGCTGCTGAACCTGAAGGGCGAGGCGGTCTGCCTCGAGCAATTGGCCTACTGCCGCGGCTGGGACCTGACACTGGCGGGCACTCTCTTCTGCCCTGCATCTGCTGCTCCATTCGCCAGCCAGAGGGTCTCACCTACATTCTCGGTTCTTGAGTGAGACTTGACCTTGGGCATTCTGATATTTCTGCCTGCAGCAACGCGCAACAACTTATTCCAAGCCGAACGATGAAACGAGTGACGATGACCTGGTCCCTTACAAAAGGCCTTGACCACGCGCGCACAGTCAACGGCCATGTCAACGTCCACCTCAATGTTCTTGAGCACCTCAAGGGCGCCCCGCAACGCTGCACATGGCATCGTTTCCTTGAGACCTGGAAGGGGGGCCCTACCCCGCGCAGCTAGCCTAGAGTCTCTGATCGCACTGACACCCGGGACACAGCGACGGAGACGCGGCTATGACGAGCACGGCCCCCCCCCGACCCGCCAGACATCTCCAGCCTCCAGCTTGGAGGGGCCTGCCAGCAAAGGCGCCGAGAGAGTGGGTTCAGCTTCCGTCGCAGCGTCTGCCGCCGCCCGGGTCCAAGGCGCGGGGGGGAGGGGTCCTCGACGCCAGAAAATCGAGGCCGTCAACGCGCCTTCCCGAGCCTGTTCCAGAATCTCAAGGTGGGCCCCATGGATATCAACATTCTTGGGGCAATCCCACATTAGGTGGAACAGCGTTCCCCCCAGGGCTCCGCAGCGGGGGCGGGCGGGGGACTTGTGGGCAGGGCCAGCATGGGCGGGCCCGGGTGCCCAAATCCCCCGTCCTCAGGCACTCCACAGGGCTGGCCAAACAACTCCTCCTCTTGGGCGGCAAGGTTCAACGCGCGGTCGAATCATCAGCAGGGGAGGGCTACCAACAGAGGCAGCAGCAGCAGGAGGGAGGTCGGCCACTGCGCCGATGACCTCGCCTGCTGCCAGGAGTAGGGAGGCCGAGTCCTGGGCCTGGGCCCCTGGGCCCTCTTGCCTTGCGGCCTCCGCCCCACCCCCCCTCCCCCCATCCAGCCCAAACCTCCTGGAGTTGGGCCGCAAGGCCCCCGTGAAAACCATTTGGAGCACAGCAACCTCATCATGCTCTTGGCGGCTCTTGGGCTTGCTGATATGTCTGAGCGCCGCAGTCAGATCGACCCCCCAACTCCGCCCCACCCCCGTGGCAGCGCTTGCTGGCCATCTTCCAGGGTCGAGCTTCAACTGCACAGCCTAGGGCCAACTCTAAGAGGCGGTCGGTATCCCCTTCCAGCAGATCGAAGGCCTCTCCGTCCGCGGGGTCGATCCAGCGCCAGGGTTCAGGAGCTTTCCAGCCGAGATCCAGCAAGTTGGCGACGACGGCCCCCGCGGGGCCCCCAATTCCCCCCCATCTGGCCTTGGCCAAACTTCATTCACGCCGCAACTTTTCCCATGCAAGGCTCAGCGGTGCACGAGCATCAACAACGATTGCGGGTAGCATGTCCCCCCGCGTCTGGGAAATCTGCAGCCGGCCAACAACCAGCGGGTCCTGCTTGGACAAAAGCGCAAGACGGATGGCTATCGCGGCGCACCCCCCCTTCGGTCGAATCCCCGTCAGCCCAGACACCTGGGCCTGGAGCTTGTGCCCATCCCTTCGAGACCCCGCGTGGCCTGTGGGAGGAAACCAGTCTCGCCTGTCTTGGCGGCCTGCGGGTTGGGCTTAGACACTCGGGCAATCATGTTGCCCCTGCCTCTAGCAGCCGAGAATCTTTTCTTCATCGCACCGACGGAACGACGACGCGACGACCCATCCACCCCCGGATCTTTGACTCGCTGCGAGGTCTAGAGCTCAATTCCTCTGGCCTTCAGGGCCTCGGCAACTTTCTCGCCTAGATCAGGCGGTTTGGCAACGATGGTGCTCTAACAACGAGGCCACTTGCAGTTCATTCCTCGACTAGTGCGGAGGCCACCTACACCGGTCGCTCCAAGACAAACCGGCTGTGCCCGAACACGCTATGGGACACATCGTCAACCCAGGTGTAACTGCAACGGCCTATACTTGGAGTGCAGCTATGTAGGATTTCCCACAGTGAAACTCGCGAGATATCAACAGATTGGTTGCAGCCTGCAAGCAGCGCGTTAAACGGAACGATGATTTCACCCTGGCCCCCTTTAGCCTGAAGCCTTCGAGGACTAAGAGAATCTGCATGGCCAAAAAGAGTGGGCCCACGGGGCGCTCCGCGATTCTGGCGAGCCCGGAAATCTTGCCGCGCTGCAGGCGGTCGCAAAACTCTCCCGGGTCCCACGGGATTTCCAGCCCTGAGAAACCCTGGACGCTGCCCACTTCCAAGCGGAGTTGTCGCGAGAGGGCCGCGCAAAAACGGCATTCTGTGTCGGGCATGCGTTCCCTCTGCGCAAAAACGGCCAGGTTCTGTGTCGGGCATGCGTTGGCGTTACCGGTCGGTCTGCAGCTTCCGACCTGTAATTTAGCTGGGCAACTTTATCTTCGGCCTGCGCAGGCCATCCTAAACATCGCCCAACACTCTGCAGCACCTGTAGCAACTGTTGGCGGCCTTCTACTGGGACCTGGATCCACCACCTTGGGTTCTGACAGTCTAGCCCCATGCCTACCGCGTGCCTAGGCCTTAAGCCCCTCCCCGAGCTTTTCACGGGTGGGGGGTTTGGCCTTCGCAGAATACTCGGGGCGCCAGAGTTCCTCTTGCGGTCTCCCTCTAGGGCGCCCCTCGGGGTCCTTCGGGCGCCAGAACCTATTCCAGTACTCAGTTTTCGCTTCGACAATCTTATGCGGCTCTCGAATGGCTCCGCGGCAACTGTCGCACTCTTGGGCCCGCCCGGGGTCTTCCTTCTTGGCCCATCTGCGCAGGGCCCCAGCCCCAACTCTGAGGCTACTGATGACCCATTCCTTAATACCTTTGGAATGGCCTCGACTTTGCCTTCGCTCGACCCCCCCCCCCCCCCACACACACACACACACACACACACCACCGCCACCATCCTACCCAACTCCGCCCCATTCCCTTCCAGAGCGGCAGCAGTGGCAGCAGGCGGCGATACACATGCAAAAATCTGGGTGGGCACAGCCTGGCTGCGCTCACCCTGCAAAGTGTTCTCGACGTTCTGGCAGCGGCGCGCCTGCATGAGCATGCTCGCCCAAGCTCGGCCCACCAGGAAGGCCTTCTTCTGCTTCCCCAGAACTCCCTGCGCCTCTTGGAAGCGGGCACCCAGCGCCATCCACGCCGCCAGGCCCTCGGGGCCCTTCATCCACCCTGGCGGATTGGGCTCCACAGCGTTCGCGATCTTCGTCTCAGTGAGGCAACCGCGGCGGGTGGCGGCCTTCTGGTAGTCCGTCGTGACGTCCCTCTGCGCAAGCAGCTGCTCCGCCGCCGCCGCGAACTCCATGTAGGCCTCCGACACCTCGCGCTTCTCTTCGGGCAGGCTCTGGCATCTGCCGCCCCCCAGAGCCGCGAGCTTGGTCTGCTGGATCGCTTCCACGTGCTCATCCAACGGCCTATCAGGGCCTCGCATGCCCACCGTGATGCTGACTGGTGCTAGCGGGGCCCTGAATTGGCACCTGGACGCCTGCGTGTGGAGCTTCGCAATCACTCCGAAATGTGGCGCCGCCCAGGGCCCTTTCATGTCCCACTCCAGCTTGAGCGCCCCCTGCAGGCCCTCCGAAATCATCATGTAGTCGATGAGCCGCCCTCCTGCTGGGTGGCCCCTGGCGCGGCCCACCTCCCTCTCAAAGAAGTGCCCCACCCTGCAGGCCCTATCTCATCCAGCGCCATGTGCCAATCACCCATGAAGGCCTGTCCGTGGCTGCGAACAGACTCGCAATCCCACCCATCGTAACTGGGTTGCAATCGGCGAGGCTCACGTCCACGACGAAGTGCGCGGCCACGAAGAGGATCTCAATGCCCCCTTCGAACCTGATTACCTGGCCTGTCCACTGCGTTCTCTCTCCCAAAAGCTCTGGCCGCTGGTGAAGCCTCCTGTGACAATCCGTGATCGGCCAGCTCTGGGCCCAACGCGCGCCTGTCGAAACACTCCACCATGGCCCTGCCTGCCTCCGTTGATCGTCGGGGCTGCTGGGGCGGAGGCCCCGCCCAAACCGTGCTTCTTGAGCTAGGTAGCTGCCTGGGTTAAGCGACCCCCAGACGGGTGATGCTCTACGAAGCCGAACATGCTGAGGCCCCTCTTGCTGGCGACCCTGTCTTCCTCGACCTCTTTGATGACATCCCATCCTGTCGGGCCAAGGCTGGTGATGTTGGCGAAGCAGAACTCGAATTGATATGACTTCGCCTTGCCCCGCGGGGGCCTCTCCTCTCCCTGCCCTTCGCCCCCCCGCTCTCGCCCGAGGGGCCCCCGGCTGCTCGTGCGACGGGGGGCGGGGGGGGGGGTGAGTGCAGATGGGGCCCCGCAGGAGTGGCGGCGCCGAGCTGGTCCACATCCTGGCGCACGCCCCCCATGTCCCCCGGCGGCCTCGCCTCGCCCGTTTCAGCGCTTCCCGAGGGGCCAGGCGGGGCCAGAGGGGCCGCCAGGGGGAGCCAGCAGCAGCCCGGCGCCTCGACACCCTCCAGCACCTCGAGCAGGTCCAGCATGACCATCGCCTTGCTACCCACGCTTCTGTCGCTTGAGCTTGAGGCCTGCCAGGCTGTCCAGGAAGGCTCGCTTCTCGCCCTGAGACGACTCCCCGGGCTTGCCGATCTCGTCCAAGTCCATGTCCTCGTACAGGTCCGGTACTGGAACTGTTCCCCCAGCGCCCCCTGCACCATTGGAAGCAGGAGGAGGCTCAGCTGCAGGACCTGGCGGAGGGACGCCACTGGTCTTGATTATTTCCAAGAACTTCTTCCACGTTTCGGGCTCGAGCATGGCCTTGCCCTCGGGCTGCTTCTCAAGCTCGGTTTTGTCCTACTTTTCGACGTCCCATGTGGATGTCCCAACAGGCATCGTCATGACCAGCTCCTTGCGGGCGTCCTCGATCTTCGCCTTGAGCTCGTCCACCTGTGCCTGCATCTGCTTTTCCACTCTTTGAGCCTCTTCAATGGCCTTTCGGTGTGCTTCCAACGTTTACTCCAACGCACACTGCTTCGCCTCGAACTCTACAAGCTTGTGGCCCGCGATGGTGTGCTGGGTGAGCGCAGGTTTGGAACCCTGGAGCTCCTTTTGTGCCGCCGCCTGCTTCTGCCGCAGGCGTTCGATCTCATCCTTGTCCGTGTCGGGGTCCAACTCCTTTGCCGTCCTGCCAAGCATTGCAATCTTCTCGCGTAACTTGTCTGGTTGGCTCTGGCCGGCACCACCCCCATCTTGGCTGGCCCCACCGCCCGTTGCCCCCATCGCTGGCAGCCCTCCCACACTCGGCTGAGCCTTGAGCAAGAGTTGGACGGAATTGGCGAGCTTCGCAATCGACTGGTTCGTACTCTCGAGCTGCTTAGCCCAGACAACCCCAGGCTGCGGGTGTGCTCCAAGCTTGGGCACTCGTTCACTCTGATATTTTTGTTTTGCATTCTGACGGGCACGATCGATGATGCTGCGCGGTGGACTCGCCCCACAGCCGCTACGAATCCTGCTCGCCCAATTGCTGCTCCTCCCACATGCACAGCCCCACGCGGGCTCCTTCGGCCCTGGCAAGATTGCTGGTTCCACTCCACCCTCCTCCTCCATCCTTTTCCTATATTCTCCCCCCCCTCTCCCTCCCTACTCCTCCGCCTCCGCCTTCCCCTCCTCCTCCTCCTCCTCCTCCTCCTCCCTGCTACTTCTCTTCCCTCTTATTCCTCCTCCCCCTCCCTCTCCTCCTCCTCCTCCTCCTCCTCCTCCTCCTCCTCCTCGTCCTCCGCCTCGTCCTCCTCCTCCTCCTCCTCCTCCTCCTCCTCCTCCTCCTCCTCCTCCCCCTCCTCCCTACTTCTTCTCATCGCCTCTCCAGGGCCAGCTGGGGAATAGGCCTGGTCGCATTCCACACGCACCACTGGCAACACGAAGCGACCCCCGCAGAAGCAACATCTCGAGCCCCGCCGCGGCGGCGTGGGGCCCTGCGCGCGGCCGACACGAACCGATAGCAGAGCGCTCGGGCCCGCCCCAGCCTTGCGCCAAGGCGAGGGCATCGGATAAGAGGACAATGTGATGAGGAATTCGGGGTCTGGAAGCGGGGGGGGACTCCCATCGTGGATCTGCCATGGATACCACTGTCAGCCCCATCAGATAGGGCATCCCCCAGGGTTTGATGCCTCTGGGGCAGATTCCTCAACGAGCGCCCCCACCGTCTTGTCCCAAGGAGGAGGAGCAGAGAAAGCAGTCTGAGATGATGCGGAAGAGGGACTGCAGCGCTGGTGGGGCATGACCCACCGTCAACACCTTCGGCATGAACATGTCGCCTTTCGCAGGCTCGCTGGTGGAGGGGGAGGAGATCATGGATCTTCTATGTGTTTTCTTCCTTCTTCTGAGTGCTGGAGGGTGGAGAGCGCCTTCACTGTGTTTTCTGTTTTCTTTTTTTGTTGTCTTTCTTGTTCTTCTTCTTCTTTGTTTTCACTGGTGAGGGTGTTTTTTCTTTTTTGTTTCTATGTGCTTTCTTTGCTTTTCTTCCTTTTTCTGAGCGCCGGGGGGTGGAGGAGGAGGAGGAGGGAGGAGAGGAGGAGAGGAGGAGGAGGAAGAGGAGGAGGGTGGAGAGTGGAGAGGTGGAGGTGGAGGGTGGAGAGCTCTGACAACAGAGCCAGCTCGATGCCCCAGCGGATCCCCCAAGCCCAGCCTCGGGCTCTTCCCGGAGGGCGGGCTTGGCCGAGCCCGGCGCCCCGCCCTTCTCCTCCTGCTCCTCCTCCTCCTGCTCCTCCTCCTCCTCCTCCTCCTCCTCCTTCCTCCTCCTCCTCCTCCTCCTCCTCCGCCTCCTCCTCCTCCTCCTCCTCCTCCCTCCTCCTCCTCCTCCTCCTCCTCTCCTCCTCCTCCTCCTCCTCCTCCTCCTCCTCCTCCTCCTCCTCCTCCTCCTCCTCCTCCTCTCGGGCCGCCGAGGCTCAGACCTTCTGACTACCTACCAGACCACCCCAACCCAACCCGGACACCCGAATTTCGGGTTGGGGGGGGGTACGGGTTCCAAATGTGTTTTCTCGACGTTCCCCGACCCCCCCCCCCTGGAAATGGAGGTCGATTTGAGGCCTTCGGGTTGGGTTGGGGTGGTTTGGTGGGTGGTGACCTTCGGGCCGCTCGATTCTGGAGAGCAAGAACAAAGCTCCCGATCCGCCTCGCACACTCTGCACTGCACACCGCGGCCGCCAGGCCGGAGGTGTGCCAGTGCTCCCTGGCTCGTGCCTTCGACGAATGACGACTGCATACCGCGGCTGTCAGACCCAAGAATGTGCCGGTGCTCCCTGGGCATCCCCGCTCGCGCTTTTGGGTGGGGAGTGCTCACGACATGATTCGAATGAGGTTGTAGCATTCCCCCCTCTGTGGTCCTTGGGCACGGGCTTGCCCTGCTCGCGCCGCAGCTGAATGTAATCTTTGAGGCTGTACTGGGCGAGCTCCGTGACCTCGGCTGGGGCAAGGGAAGCCTCCACTGCGGAACGAGAGCCCTGAGGGGGGCCCAGAGAAGAGGAGAGGCTATCCTCCTCCGCCTCCGCCTCCGCCTCCTCCTCCTGCCGCTCCTCCCTCCACCACCTCCTCGTCCTGCTCCTCCACTTCCCCCCATCCACCCCTCCCCACCAACGCAGTAGACATGCACGACCTGACATGCTGTTGTAAAACGTCTAGGGGCACATCCTTCGTCCCCCGTTGACAGTCGTGTGGCGCCCCAGGCGCCTCCACACCCGTCGGGGGCGATCGGTCCTCGGAGAAGACACTCTAGCGGGGCAGCCGCTGGCAAGCCATTCCCTCCTCCCGCGTGCCTGCTGCCAGGTCCTCTTCGCCGCGCCACCACGGATCCCTCGGGAGGTCCGCGCACGTCGCCCGAGACCTCCTCGAGGACGAAGGGCCCACGGCTCGGCGCCCGGAAAAGCAGCCAGCTCCACGGGCGGAGGGCGGCGGGATCTCCACAGCGAGGCTCCCGCCGCGGCGCCGCGCGGGCTCGTCGCACGCTCTCCAACGGCCGCGCGGAGGCAGGGCGGGACGCTCGCAGCACGAAGCTCTCGGCCTCAGCGCCGAGCACGTTCGCCCAGCAAGCTGTCGACATCTGCGCTGGAAGGCGGCCCGCGTTCAAAGTGTAGCTCTCGCCTCGACGTCGCGCGAACCCAATTTCCGACAACTGCACGGGTGGATGTCTGGAGGTCGGTTTTGTTTTCTCAAGCTGGAATCGAATATTGACGCCGCGCACATTCACCCAACACGGCTCAAGCAAGAGAACAGAGGAAGGGCACGAGCCTTTTCAAAGTGTGGCTCTCGCGCGAGGCTTCGTTACACCCATCTGCACTCTACAAGCAGCCGGGATAATGGAATGTGGCCCTATTTAAATTCAGTGTTGATCGACACACGTGCGAACTATAATCGTACCTCCTTAAACCATCACTGTGCTTATACAGAGGGTTGCCCTTCGTATGTGCCCTGTCAGGTATTGGCTTTCGCGTGAGGCCGCATTCCATGTCATGGCCCCGGAGCTCCGCACGTCTCGCGGTTCCAAAGATGGAGGGCGGCCCTGCTCCTCGAGACCGAGTTTTTTCGCACGAGACTCCTCTCCGTGCTGCTCTGCAGCTGGAGCGCGCACCACTCGCGCAGGAGGAGGAGGAGGAGGAGGCGGAGGAGGAGGAGGAGGAGGAGGAGGAGGAGGAGGAGGAGGAGGAGTGGGAGGAGGAGGAGGAGGAGGAGGAGGAGGAGGAGGAGGAGGAGGAGGAGGAGGCTTTTCGGAGTCGTGCCCTCGCGCCAGGTGCCGCGCGCATCCTGCGGAGCATCTCCTGGCCGCCAACATGCATAGGAACGCTCCTCCCGATGCCCAGAAGAAGACACAACGGCATGAACACACATGAAGGGGCCCCAGGACACACAAATGAATACACACAAATAAACATATTAACTATATATCCCCATATTTTCTTGTTTTTCCCGCTCTCGCGCGCCCGCTGCATGCGTTGCGAATGCGGGAGGAGGGGGATGATTGGTGGCTGCGCCTGTGGAGGAGTCCACGGGAGCCGGCTGGGGGTCACCATGCCGCGGGGGGGAAGGAACAAGAATTCTGCGCCGCCGGGGGCCCTTCCCCCCTGCGAGAGGAACGGGTCCATTCTGGGGCCAACTTTACACTGAACCCTCTGCTTGCGGTCCAAGCTTCATTCGGGGATGGACAGACCTCCCTTTAGTAAAACGTGGTTTAGTGAAAACGGCCTGAGGCCCAAACCTGGCGTGCGCAAGCCTGGAAAATAACGGCCACGGCGCCCTCTCGAGAACCGAAAACGGACAATTCACTAATCGACGTGTCACTGTTGGGGGTTCTGTCCAGCCCCGATTCATCAGATCGCCGACGCGCACTTCGCAGCACCTCGGGGCCCCCCTTCGTGCAGGCCTGCGCCGTTCCGGCGCGTGCGCTCGCCGCCGCGGAGAGAAAAAACCACACTGGCGACCTGCGCGGGGGTGCAGCGCAGTGCAGAGATCAGCGGCGCGCGCTGGGTTTGTTCTGGTCCTCCGGCTCTCCCCGCCTCCTCCTCTGCCTCCTCCTCCGCCCTCCCCTCTTCCTGCCCTCTCCTGCCCCCCCCACACATTATGTGTCTGCTCCCTCCTTCCCTTCCCTGCTTCCTCATCCCGTTTCCCGCTCCCCCTCATCATCACCATTGCTCCTTGCACATCATCCCCCTCCTCCTCATCCCCCCTCTCCTATCCCAGAAGACAGAATCAAAACGTCCAAAAATTGGCGGGAACCTCTCAGAACAGAAACCCGCAAATCCGCTTGAAACAATCGAACAAGCTGATATGCCCTTCTCTCTCCCTCTCCTCCTCCTCCTCCTCCTCCTCCTCCTCCTCCTCCTCCTCCCCCTCCTCCTTCTATCCCCGTCTCCTCCTTCGATGCCGCCGATGCGGCAAGGGAGGGCAAGCCAACGGCCAAACCCCTCTCTCCTAACATTCCCTAGAGCTTGCGTTGCCTATCCAGCCCCTGCCATCCCAACGCACGCATCGGTCTCCTTGGGCAGACGCTGCGCGACCTGAGAGGAGGAGGACGAGGAGGAGCGCCAGTAGCCTGAGGGCGGGCTCCTGTGACGACGCAGAAGCGGCCGCGGCGGCGGGGAGCCTTGGCCTCGGGAAACTACTTCGCGATGTTGGGGCGGTCGAGGGCGGCCAGGCGCGCGCCCAGATGATGCTGGTAGGAGTAGCCGTTCGCGCCCTGGGTCTTGACCTCGAGGTACGTGTAGTACGCGAGGACGAGGCGCTGGGTAGTCATCGACAGCGAGTGCTCCCCGTTCTCATCATAGTGGTGTCCAAGACCCAGGCGCTCCAATGCAGAGGCCTGCGCGAATGTCCGCGGCAGGCAAACCAGATGCCGGAGCCGATCACATACCAGATAGTGGGCGATCGCGTCTGGCTGCTGAGGACGCCCAAAGCGACGCTGGTCCACCTCGGGAGTGACGCGCATGCGGGAGCTCGTGTGCCAGCCACCCGCAAGCGTCCGCAGAGTGATCCACCGCCACGGAGGAGCCATCGACACCAGGAAGCTTTTGAGGGTTTCCCAACGCGTCTTCAGGTCGCGCGGCACGACAGCAGGGCCAAACCATGCCGTAAGCCGCTCGGCGATGGTAACCTCGAAATCGTCCTTGATCCAGTCGGCGGTCAGGGCTGTGATGAATGCTCGCTGCGGTTTGGGTTTGGAGCCAGCTTCAGCGGCGCCCCGAACGGCGCGATGGGCAATAACACCAGCACCTAGAAGATCATGGTGGCGATGAGCAGGGACTTGAGCATAACGGCCCTGCATCATCTCGTTGAGGTGCCGGAAAATCGCCTGCGGCTCCTTCCAGAAGACAGGCGACCGTTTGTTCTTTACGAACGCAGGAAGTCCGCAAGCCGATTGGGCGATCTCGAGGAACTCCTGGAACAGGGGCTGCACGGGGTTGAAAGTGAAATGCGCGGCCCGCCACTGAGTCCCAAGCGAATATATGAGCAGGGAGCGCGGCGCAATATCAGGCGTCCATTTGTTTAGTGAATGGACATCTTTGAGGCGACAGGTGCTTGGAGGCATTCGAAGAACTGCGTGAACTGCGTGGATCTCCTTTCGCTTGAGCTGTGGAGGGAGATCAGAGAACTGCGCCAGGTAGCCGAGGGCGGTGATCGCCGATGCCTGGTAGAGCCTCGCATTGACGTGACGTCCGCGGGAGCAGACGTGCTGCCGATGGCCGCGACTCTCTGCCACCACTTGGATCCCGCCACGGCCCATTGGAGATCGTCGTCCGCATCGGGGCCCACATGCGCCCCAAGATGCAGACCTTCCGCCGCAATCTTGAACGGGGCCCAGTCGGGAAGATGGCCCTGAAGGAAGGTGATGACGTCGTCGCGGATCGCGTTGGTCAGCTTCGCCCGCATGGGGAATGATGACACATTTCTTGGCATTGAGGTGTAGATTGCCGAGCACCGCAGCTGCATGAACAAACCAAAAAAGAACGTGAGCCAACGGAACCATGAGAGCCACACTTTGAAGGCAAAGTCCGAGATCATCGGCACAGGCGCCCGTCTTGCCATCCTTGGGGCTGGGCGTCGCACCATTGACAGCTCTGATGATGACATCCACCGCGATGGCCCAGGTGGTGCCAGAACAGGGGGCAGCCCTGGGCTGCTCCAGATGTCATGGGGCACACAAAGTAGCATTGGCCATCGAGAATGGTGAAGCCCATAGCCTGATCGTACAGCGCAGCGACCGCCTTGAGGAAGCCCCTCTCGAACTGGAACTGGTTGATGGCCTGAAAGAGCCATTTCCTGTCCAGAGAGGGGAAAGCAGCAGCAATGTCAAAGAGCAGCAGGACAGTCTTGTCAAGAGAAGCGTTTGAACTCCATCCTGCCATGCGGCCTTTGGCAACCATCATCAGAATGCCGTTGCGCAAAAATTCGTCCGCGAGTAAATCCTTGTTGATCATGATGGGCACGTTCTTCCACGTGAGATCTGGTTGAAGGTTGAGAGCTCCCGCGGATATCTTGGAACCGGTATTATTCCGAGAGATCGGGCGCAAGTGTCTTGCTTCGCGCGCGCAGCAGAAATGGTGCGTTTTCTCCTCGCCCTTCGGGATGAACGTGGGCGGAGCAACGCCGGACTCGAAGAAGCTCTACGTCTGCGTGACCTCCTCAAGAGCCTCTCATGCTCCATCAGTCACTGCCCAGGCTCTGCATGGGAGACGATCAGGGCCAGGCGCTGACGCGCGAGCACGGAGGGCGACGCATCGCATAACAGCAGCGGAAGGAATGGTGAGCTTCGGCGCGGTGATGCTTGGGGGAGGGGGCAGATGTAGTCCTTGAGAGCCTGCTCATCAACTTGCTTGTGCGAGAAGATGGGCAGCCAGTCATCCTGTCAAGCTTCCACTTGCGCAGCGGGGCCCGTAACTGCACCTCCCTCGTTCGCGAGACGAACTCCAGT